AGGGTGCTAGGTCTGGGGAGTATGGTGGATGTGACAGAATTTCCCAGCCTAGCTCTGCGATTTTCTGACGAGTCGCCAGAGCAGCATGTGGTCTGGCATTATCATCGGTAGCAATGTTTTCACGATCGCGTCTCACTTAATAATGACACGAGACATCTCTGTTTTAGTTTATTTAGGAGAGTACATGTGTGTAAATGCAATGATAAAGAGAGATAGTCATATATGTCTCAAATCAACATGTGCATATGGATTGAAACTTGAAATGACACTATCGGACAGAACTTTCCGGTAGACCTAATATTTTCGCCGTTGCTTACAAGTCGCGTCGCTTTTCCAATTAGGCGATCTTTCGATATCACACGTTGTTGATCAATTCGATTTTGACATGTCGAAAGGACACAAATCTGCGACTCGAACCTCGGCAACAATCTTTGTCATTTCCTTGTCATTTTCTCTATTAACAACTTGTTTCAGAAAAAAGCCTACGATCCTCAAATTGGGCACACATTTACTAAAATATTTTAACAATAAAAAACACTCAACGAATGTAATTATAACGAACACATTATATAGAAAATACCGTTAAATATTTCGATCCACATTTTAGACTTGAGGGTACACGATGGTTCCGCAAAATATCGCCGAATCAAAACGCGGATGTTTGTACGAGCGAGTTGCGATAAAAAAACGACATGACTTATGACATTATCCACAGTTTCCGAAGTAAAATTGCAACGTGCGTTGGTCGCTCCTTTACCGGTCAGAGATAGGATATGTAGCGAGAAAAGAAGAGGAAGGGGAGGGTCGCGTTAACAGATAGGAAAATAGGCGAAAAGTGTCGGCGCGTTTCGAGCGATCGCGTTGCGTCTTGTCGGCTCGTTCAACAGCTTTCTTTGCTCGGTTTCGGTTAGGCGGAGTTAAATTGGTATATCATCGAGCAGAGGCGAGTGTATAGGTGCCGGGGTTGTGGATGCACCGACTGGTGGTTTCCTCGAGTGATAGTGGCACCGAGCCAATGTCCGACGACCTCATTGAACCGCTATGAAAAGAAACGAGCCACGCACTCTTAACGAATCCTTCCTCCTCTTTCTCTCGCCGCCCCCCCCTCCCTTTAAGCTGGCGCGTTCCTTTTCTATCCTGTCTAATTTAATTCATTTCGTCGGAAAGGCGAGCAACGTATCGATTCCTCGCTGCGAATCGTCGCGACAACAGATCAAACGGCGTTCCCTACGATTTCTCTCGCTATGGTACTGTACCAACCTCCATTGTTTGCGAATGGTGAAGAGCCTTAATGGCGTTGATGGCGTACTGTTTACTGGCGAAGGTAACGAAGGCACAGGCTTTACTCTTCCCGGTGCTATCCCTCAGCACCGAACACTCTTCGATAGTCCCGTAGACGCTGAACATGTTCCGCACGTCGTTCTCGGTGAACTTCTTCGACAGCATGCCGACGAACAGCTTGCGTTCTGGAACAAAAGGATTCGAAGCTCAGAGAAGAAAGTTCGCGGGCCCACATATAGGTCATTAATCGAGGACAACTACAGGTAAAATTAGCTCGAATGTTCGAGATCGGTGGCACGCGCGATGCAGGTAACCGTAAACCGCAACTCTTTCGGATCCTACGAATCCTAACGAAATTCGCGGGCACGTCGCGAGAAAAATCGATGGGCGCCACGTACGACGGTGGACGCGTTGAAAGGAACGTTGGAGCGTTTGGTTAAACGTCGCAGTTCGAGGCACGTTGGATTCCCTAATTAATTCGCCGGTTAATACAATAAATGTCGGGACCTCGAGGAACGCGTCCTCACTTGTCACGTCACTGTCTCCGCGTTTAATAAGCGTCCGCCACGTATAATGCGCCTGGTCAGCTATGGACCATTTGGAGATGACTCGCTTTGGGTAGCGAGAAGAGGCGAAGGTGGCCTCCACCCGGTCAATATTTGTTTAGGACCAAGAGAAAAGCTTCGTCCGGAGAAAAGCCGCTTATGTAAATTCAGCCTCGCATAGGATCTCCTATAGGGACGCAAAGTAGCCGGCTGCATCTCTGAATATCTCTATCTGCGCTACACCCGCTCTGGACTAGCTCGCTCTATCGTCTCCTCCACCGACCGGAGAATCACCCTTCGATCTACACTTTGCACACGTTCGCGGGCCAACATTTTCCATCGGCCGATCGATGCGCTTCTCCTTTCCTTTTCCCTTCTCTACCCTCCGTGCCCCGCTTCGCGCTAATACCTTCAGCTCGTTTTTACCAGAAAAACACCTTTCGTCCCATCCGCGGAGAAAGTCACCGCACACGAGCAACACGATCGTCCAATCGGTCGACGACCTTCCCTTGTCTGCCGGTCGACCTCGTTTAATTGATACAATACAAACGGATAGGAAGTACGGCCTCTTTGCATAACAACGGATTGACAATTAACGCATTTCCTACCGGCGGGTACTTATCATTTTTGCAAATTTTTCAGCGGCAACAATTTCAGTTGTGAGTGACACAAAGTTGCTAGAGTGGGCTAAGGTTGCCTGACACAAAGATCTTACTTTTTCAACGTTCAGGGGCTAGCTCTTTTTTTATCGAACCGAAACAACTGTACGATTAAAATGGCTTAACACAGCGAGTCACCCCTTTCCGGGTGTTAATATTATTATGGGACACCCTGTATTAGCGCTAAACTGAATCTTTCACTTTGACTAAATAATTTAATCTTCTATTTCGGCGAGACCTGGTGCTCAAATTGTTAACCTTTTAGGTACGGCTGAATTCTGCGCGAGGCTATTTCTCTGGACGACAGAGTCTGATATGTACCTGTCTCTTATACACATCTAGATGTGTATAAGAGACAGCCACTATAGTGGCTTTCGCGGATGTCATCTCTCTGAACGACGCGCCACTATAGTGGCTTTCGCGGATGTCATCTCTCTGAACGACGCGCCACTATAGTGGCTTTCGCGGATGTCATCTCTCTGAACGACGCGCCACTATAGTGGCTTTCGCGGATGTCATCTCTCTGAACGACGCGCCACTATAGTGGCTTTCGCGGATGTCATCTCTCTGAACGACGCGCCACTATAGTGGCTTTCGCGGATGTCATCTCTCTGAACGACGCGCCACTATAGTGGCTTTCGCGGATGTCATCTCTCTGAACGACGCGCCACTATAGTGGCTTTCGCGGATGTCATCTCTCTGAACGACGCGCCACTATAGTGGCTTTCGCGGATGTCATCTCTCTGAACGACGCGCCACTATAGTGGCTTTCGCGGATGTCATCTCTCTGAACGACGCGCCACTATAGTGGCTTTCGCGGATGTCATCTCTCTGAACGACGCGCCACTATAGTGGCTTTCGCGGATGTCATCTCTCTGAACGACGCGCCACTATAGTGGCTTTCGCGGATGTCATCTCTCTGAACGACGCGCCACTATAGTGGCTTTCGCGGATGTCATCTCTCTGAACGACGCGCCACTATAGTGGCTTTCGCGGATGTCATCTCTCTGAACGACGCGCCACTATAGTGGCTTTCGCGGATGTCATCTCTCTGAACGACGCGCCACTATAGTGGCTTTCGCGGATGTCATCTCTCTGAACGACGCGCCACTATAGTGGCTTTCGCGGATGTCATCTCTCTGAACGACGCGCCACTATAGTGGCTTTCGCGGATGTCATCTCTCTGAACGACGCGCCACTATAGTGGCTTTCGCGGATGTCATCTCTCTGAACGACGCGCCACTATAGTGGCTTTCGCGGATGTCATCTCTCTGAACGACGCGCCACTATAGTGGCTTTCGCGGATGTCATCTCTCTGAACGACGCGCCACTATAGTGGCTTTCGCGGATGTCATCTCTCTGAACGACGCGCCACTATAGTGGCTTTCGCGGATGTCATCTCTCTGAACGACGCGCCACTATAGTGGCTTTCGCGGATGTCATCTCTCTGAACGACGCGCCACTATAGTGGCTTTCGCGGATGTCATCTCTCTGAACGACGCGCCACTATAGTGGCTTTCGCGGATGTCATCTCTCTGAACGACGCGCCACTATAGTGGCTTTCGCGGATGTCATCTCTCTGAACGACGCGCCACTATAGTGGCTTTCGCGGATGTCATCTCTCTGAACGACGCGCCACTATAGTGGCTTTCGCGGATGTCATCTCTCTGAACGACGCGCCACTATAGTGGCTTTCGCGGATGTCATCTCTCTGAACGACGCGCCACTATAGTGGCTTTCGCGGATGTCATCTCTCTGAACGACGCGCCACTATAGTGGCTTTCGCGGATGTCATCTCTCTGAACGACGCGCCACTATAGTGGCTTTCGCGGATGTCATCTCTCTGAACGACGCGCCACTATAGTGGCTTTCGCGGATGTCATCTCTCTGAACGACGCGCCACTATAGTGGCTTTCGCGGATGTCATCTCTCTGAACGACGCGCCACTATAGTGGCTTTCGCGGATGTCATCTCTCTGAACGACGCGCCACTATAGTGGCTTTCGCGGATGTCATCTCTCTGAACGACGCGCCACTATAGTGGCTTACTCTAGTAGCTCACTCGGTCATCGTTTGAATCAAATAATCGTCTTCATATGCATTGTTTCACACTTCTTTTGTCTTCACATCGATTTACAATATGCAGACTTATCTTAGCAATATAACTGTATCTTAACAATATACAGACAGAATATACAGACACTCTGTACAGTACATATCCTGTCTCTTATACACATCTAGATGTGTATAAGAGACAGGATATGTACTGTACAGAGTGTCTGTATATTCTGTCTGTATATTGTTAAGATACAGTTATATTGCTAAGATAAGTCTGCATATTGTAAATCGATGTGAAGACAAAAGAAGTGTGAAACAATGCATATGAAGACGATTATTTGATTCAAACGATGACCGAGTGAGCTACTAGAGTAAGCCACTATAGTGGCGCGTCGTTCAGAGAGATGACATCCGCGGAAGCCACTATAGTGGCGCGTCGTGCCTAAAAGATTAAAAATAAGATATAAAAATATAATTCGCTGCAATCTACTGAAAAGTGCAGTAACAAGGATTCATTTTTTTTCTTCATATTTCCGCTACGACGATTATCAACATTAGCGTTAGAATTACCAATGAAATCGTAATAAGGGTACTATCGCGAGAACTTATTAGGTTGACTGGTTTGTACGCGTTTCCAATTATGCTGAAACGACAGAAACTGATTATCTGCAAGTGCAAGTCCTTTCATATTTTCGTTACGACGATTGAAAGAAAAGTGTTCGTCAACGATTATCAAGATTAGCAGTTGGAATTACCAATGGGAGTGAAATTGTAATATAAGGGTATTATCGCGAGAACTTGTTAGATTAACTGGTTTGTACGCGTTTCTAATTTTGTTAAAATGGCAGAAACTGGTTGGCTGTAGTGCAAAGTACTTCTATAATTAATTCCAGAGCTCGTCGACCCAGGGTTGAAGAATCCGATTGCGCTTCTGAACAATTGGTAAATCGCATGTACAAGACCGATCATGGGTGGTAAATTGAACGGGCGATGATTGGCTACGTGGGATCGTAGTCAAAGGACTCGGAAGAAGAGAGAAAGAGAAAATAAAAAGGTAGAAAGGTAGGGGAAGAAAGCGAGGGAAAGCCGAGTGGAGAGGGGTGATGTAGAATGGCGTGGGGGAGGTAGAGACCGTGAAAACCCCGCACGTATCCGTCGATTGCGCCGCAAACTCGTCCCCTGTTAACGATTTAATTACTTTCGTAACCTAACCGGATACTCGGTTGCTCCGCTCCGAATCAGATTTTCCACGAAGCACCATGGAGATTGAATGAAAGCTCCGCGACCCACTCCATCCCGTACAATTATTTTCGATGGAAAAATTTCAAGCCTTCTGGCATCGCGGCGATACTTTCGTCCTCCTTCTATCAGCTCCTCTGTCTCCGTTTCCACCACCCTGCTACCTTTGAGCTATAGCCTATCCCTTTGTCCACCGTGGTATCGGGCCGCAGCAAAACTGGGCTTCGTGGAATGTTTATTAAATACCGAAGACGCTCGACTGGGATCTTCCTTTCAGCGGGGACCGAAATTGTCCGACCATGGACCGATGCAGTCTGGACCAGCTTCGGACCAGTCTGGTCTGGTCTGTTCTCGGGTCTGGCTTCCCGTCTGCGAAGAGAAGGCGAGGGCAAAGAATGCGTCCAGTATCTACAAATCGATCGGTAGAACGAAATGAAGCCTCGCAATCACGGAGGAAACGGAAACGGAAATGAGGATAAAAAGTTCGCGATGTTCCAGGCACATGTCCATGCATATTGCACCCACCATTTAGTTTTATTACGCTTAAATATATGCGGATCGTATCGAGGATCTGCATAGAATGTTTAGCCGTTGTCCCTCGAGGAGCTTGCGAAAAATTCGCTGCATTTTTATAAACAAACCGTGTTCAAAGTTTTTGTCACGAGGGGACCGAACGAAGCTTGGC